TGTTTAAAATTTATATATAAATATAATTGTACGTGAAAAAATTTTAATATAAATACAATTGTACATGATAAAAGGGATATGTCAACGTTGTAACAAGTAATTGTAATTTATTTAATGCATTCGTATTTTTATTCTAGATATTGTATTATTATTTAAACATATACAGGGTGTCCCATTTTAATGCCCCACCCCAAATAACTTTCTTATTTTTAATTTTAGAAAAAGATGTTTCAGACAAAAGTTGTATGGTTTCGAGGGGGACATAAGATGGTACCATTAATTTGATCTTGAAGAGTCACATGAAGGTTACGTGAAGATCATTTTCAATTTCTTAAATGGAACACCCTATATATTTTTGCATATTCTTGTAGCTTATCTCGAGAGCTTTCCAAAACACTATAAATAAACATTTTTTCATCAAGTACGTTTCGAGTAATGAGGCTTGAAATCATTTCTTAATTTTATATAAACCATAAAATATCTTGTAAAATATTCATTTTTTGATTATCTTACCTTAATACTTTTATGTACAAAATAATGAGAGAAATCCATTGGTGCAAAGAAAACATACAGTTGTTTTTAAGAAAAAAATATGTAATTTGCAATTAACAATTCCATATTTTTTCTTAAAAACAACTGTATGTTTTCTTTACACCAATTGATTCCTCTCATTATTTTGTACATAAAAATATTAAGGTAAGATAATCGAAAAATGAATATTTTACAAGATATTTTATGGTTTATGTAAAATTAGGAAATTACTTCAAGCCTCATAATTCGAAAAGTACTTGATGAAAAAATGTTTATTTATAGTGTTTTGGAAAGCTCTCGAGATAAGCTACAAGAATATGCAAAAATATATAGGGTGTTCCATTTAAGAAATTGAAAATGATCTTCACGTAACCTTCATGTGACTCTTCAAGATCAAATTAATGGTACCATCTTATGTCCCCCTCGAAACCATACAACTTTTGTCTGAAACATCTTTTTCTAAAATTAAAAATAAGAAAGTTATTTGGGGTGGGGCATTAAAATGGGACACCCTGTATATTTAAATAATATAATATGTTATATTTAAATAAGAATATTATATATGGATCTGATGTAAATTATGAAACGGCAGTGATACAAGGAGTATGCTCAAGTTTGATAGCAGCTTGTAGATATCAGCTCATTCTTTTAGATAAATGAACGTCACGTACATATAAAAACTGTAAGTTTTTCTAACAGCATATTCCTTAATGATCATAACGTCGTCATAAATTAAGTCTCTACGACCAAAATAATTTTCGATAATAGATCGACTCAGTATTGAATTTTTGTTTTAGCGTTACCAACGTCAAGAGTGATAATTAATTCTTGTCATTTGCAGTGTTTCGTAAAGTTTCGAAAAAAGACAAGATTAATGACTCGATAAATAACTGAATGATTTAATGAATTTAATTTCTGCAACGAACAAAAGTACTCGAGAACATGCTTGTATATTTTCTACAATCACAGCGTGATCTTTCTATTTACTTCTAATTTAATCATTTCATGACCGTCGACAGCATACAGTCCACATCTGCATCTGACAGTAGCACAGACACGTAGTAAATATATGGCAATACTACGACATACAGAAATGGTTGTACAAGGTATAAATTTCGTCGCTGTCTAGGTTTCATATGGAGCGTGCCATTGAAACGTGTTTTTGTTATAAATTCGACAAATATTTGCGCGCGTGAAATGGGAAGGTTGACACATGCCGTTATGAAAAAACCACGAGCGATAAGAGATCAATCGCGTGTACGTTATTTCGCGGCGTGTAAAATTGCATAAGAGAGAGAGAGAAGGGAGAGTATATGGGTTATAATCAATTTCCATTTAACGATACACGGTGAGATCAATTTTATTCGCACTGTGATAACAAAACGTCAATTTCGAAGCAATATGTAACAGTGTAATAGTTATTCGCGTTTGTTAGTGATGGCTATTGAAAATATTGTTGCTATTTGCAGGAGATATGAATTATCCGCTTCTGGATCATATTCTGCGCGATGTGTAAGTCTCGATTGAATTTTCGCAAAACAACTGTACTCATCTTCATAATACATGGACTCGAAAATAATATCTATAAAAATATGTCGTCACACACACATTAACACGCTAACTGCCGCGGGTATTTTTGGAAAAAGATCCCTTAGGCCGCACTACTTTTTTTTTATTAATTTTCCTAAGAATAATGTATTTAGGATTATTATACAGTAAAATTACATTTTTTGTAAATTATTTATTTTTAAGTTACTCCCATTTCTTAACCTTGTTTTTCTAAAAGACAAAACTAGCGAATATACTTTTTCATGCACATGGCATTTAACGTATTAAGTCAATTTATATTGTTGTTTCTCTTTTTTATATTTGTCGATTCCCAATCGGGCTTTTCTAAGCGTTTAAGATATTTACAACGAAAAATGATATTTCTAACCATTTTCTGAGTGTATACAGAGAATATATGACTCGGCGCAGCGCTTCGTTTTGCCGATCCTTTCTGCTTGTTCTACGGCCCCTCACACTTTATCCTGCAACTTCAGCATCTCCTCCACTCCCATGGCCGTTTCTACGAGCGTTTGCTTCGCTTTCTTTCCGCAATATTTCTTTACTTTTTTATGGGAGAGCACGATTTGCTCGACGATTCACCTCTTTGTCTCTGTAATAATTGAATTCGCGTTATATCGACCACCGCGCGAGAAGCCAAGAAGAAAGAAGCCGACGTATTTGCGCAATGTTCCGCGTGAATGTTTCGCATTTGAGAAGTTGAGGGAGAAAAAAGAGTAACAAAAGAAGAGAACATATAAAACACAACGGCGGGGATGAGGAAAGTGCTCGTGTATTGTTCTTTCGCTATCGTGGCAATCCGATTAGACGGATCCACGATACGCAAGAATGGACTGCGAGAAGCTACCCTTTGATTTTGAAACTTAATTTGCTCATCGAGCGAGAACAAAGGAGACTGCGCTCAATGAGGCTCCGCTTTCGTCTTTAACGCGGAATTTTCTTCAGCTTATAGTTTAGGCATCGTAGAAAATGAGATCTAGATGCATATGTCAGATACTGATGGGACTTTATATCAAGAAAATTACATATATCTACATATAATTATTTAATTATAGCATGCAAGCACACACACATGCACACATATATAGGGTATCAGGGCAATCTCTTCCCCAAAAAAATGCAATTAATAATTATATATTTTTTTTCGAAACAATTATGTGTTTTCTCTACACCAATTGATTCCTCTCATTATTTTATACATAAAAGTATTAAAGTAAGATAATCGAAAAATGAATATTTTACTAAATATTTTATGGTTTATGTAAAAATTAAGAAATTATTTCAAGTCTCATAACTCGAAAAGTATTTGATGAAAAAATACATTATTATAGTGTTTTGAAAAGCTCTAGAGGTAAGTTACAAGAACTTTTTTGGGAAAGAGATTGCCCTAACACCATGTATATATATATATATATATATATATATATATATATATATATGTATATATATGAAAGATGAATTAAATTTATTATAATGAAATTATAAAATTGGTATATTTAATCATTGGAATTAATTAAATTTACTTTACATATGCTCTACGATTTTATTTTAAAATGCTGATACATGGATATAAAATTGCGTCGACTCGAAATAGGAATAACGCACGGATGTAATTAATAATTATTCTTTTGCGCAAATAAAATGAATAACATGAAACGAAATTATACATTGATAGATTTTGTCCCTCATTTTTCAGGTGTTTTTTGATCATCAGAAAAATTCATGAATATAACAGAATAATTAATAATTAACTTTCTGAATTTTATTAGGCGCATTTTCTCTATTATAAGTAAAGTTAATATATTTTCATTTGAGAGATGTAATTTATATCTGATTGTTAATTTAGGATTCCTAATCCCGATTTTCAGCAATTGGAAAAACACAAATAAAATCTAATTCCTGTAGAAGTAAAAATAGCATAAACGATTTTTATTTCAGAGATTCTTATTTATTAACCTTCGGAATAGAACAATCTAACAATAGCTTCTTTTATATTTGAAACATTAGAAAGAAAGAATTTTAAAAAATGTACTCTTAATCCGATGAATAATGAAATAAAGTAAAAAAATATAAATCAAAAGTATTATTTAAATTTTATTAAACAAGAAGTGTAAATATATTGCTGCAAAACACAAATGCAGAATCCATCAGCAAAATTAAATTTTATCGCAATTATATTTGAACTTGTTCTATATATTATTAAAAATACATATATCGAGTTATCCTCATATATCCGCCAATGTATAAAACGTAACAGCTGCCGTGTGCCATTTTTGTCAGGATTTTTATTTTTTTCCTCGAACAAACGCAGTTAACGATTATTGCACTCTTTCTCGGTTATCCGGTATGTATTGTTAAACCAGAACTCCCAGCGAAAAAAGCGGCTTACGCGACAACGATCGATTTGACGTCGTTTACTTTCCCTTAACAGAAAGTTTTTTCATTGCTCGTTGTTTGCCGTAGCGTATATGGGGCCGGAGATTGTTTTCGCTGTTTTACAGACTCCTATCGAAGTGGAGAAAAAAATCCTTTGTTTCCCTAACGTTTTTGTCAATGCTCTCAAGCGAACGATATCAAATTTTACCAGTCGAAATGCACGTATTAAATGATTTCCATGTAGCATTATTATATTATATTCCAAATACGTTTGCATTTATATGAATTTTATTACTTATATAAAAGTTATATGTAAATGTATAATATAATCGTAAAATTTTTTTTCGGCGTAATATAATAACAGCGTATACGTAATAATTAAAGCTCCGAATGGTTAAAATAATTTTAATATAACTGGTTTGGAATATCAATTGTATATTGCTAATTGAAAATACTGATCGTCACGATACGGTCAACTATAACGATTGTTATCTTTAAAATATGGTAATGGATATTTATTGTTGCAGCATCATCCTTGGTTCGAGTGGCATTCGATAGAATCGTGAAACATTACTATCCTGAGATTAGAACGAACGTAAGTTAAATTTTCAATAAATTCTCTTGAAACCGTATTTTATTAGGCTTTATTTTTTATTATTAATTGTACTATTCAAAAATTTTATTATCTAATTTTAACATTTCATATTTATTATTTTGAACGATAATTTGACATATTTTAGTTTCTAATTATGTTTAATCAATTAACATCGATTAATAAAGTACAAAAAAATCGAGAAAAAATATAAATATAACAAACTTTTTGAAAGGATTTAAATTATACATACGTATATATTATGAACTCTTTATTAACAATTATTTCTTTTATTGTTAAAATATTCAATGATTTAATTCACTCTTTTGCATTAATGGTATTTAAACTTTCAATTTTTATAGGTTTACTGATATAAAACAATTATTTACGACTAAAACTATGGTTATTCATCAAATATGATTAATAATGAATGGCTATTTTATTATTATTTGTTTTATTATATTACTTTTTATATGATTGATACCTTTATTTTTCTAAATCGATAATAATTATTCTGAATTGTAACCAGCCATAAGCTGACCATATTAGCAAAAAGCTCAAAATTCATATTTGTCATATCAATTTTAAGTCGAATGACAAAGCACTGTTGTTCCAGACAGTCACTACAACACGACGAGACGAACAATGCCGGGTATTCATCAATCATCAATATTGCCCTTCGGCATTTAATATCAATAGAAAAAAAGACGAAGGAAAAAGGAAAAGAGAACATGAAAGAGAGCACAGCACGTTTTTCTCTTCTTTTAAATTATTGTAGTACTATTATAGTACCAGTAGAGAATTTCTCGTATTTATCTAGTTCTTGTAAAGCACAAAAGAAAAAAAGGAAAAAAATGATCAAGATGAGGTTCTCTCTCCTTGTAAATAGATGAATAGATATATATCATAAGATTGAGAAACCTAAATCTTTCGTTGGTCGGATCATTTAATACCAAACATCTACCTTAATATCGAAAGAGTAAAGGTCCATAGAGAATTATATATCTTAATATATAATTACTCAAATATTATAAAAATATAAGAATACGATATAATACGATAGAATATCATTATAAATAACAACATATTTATCAAACTACGACATAACTATGCAGGGTGTTTCAGACCACCCGTACCACCCATTTAAAAACTAGAGAGGTGGTTATTTCAAAAAAGTAAAAACATTTTTTTTATAAATCGGATGCGCTCTATCGAATGGTGATATTTTCAACTTCTTCGGTTCCGGCCGGAAATAGGCGATTCAGACCGGAAGTGCATTTTTTTAAAATGGAACCCCCTATTTTTTATTGCATATTCTTATAGCTTACCTCGAGAGCTTTCCAAAACGCTATAATAAATTATTTTTCCATGAAGTACTTTTCGAGTTATGAGGCTTCATTTCTTATTTTTACATAAACCATAAAATCATTTCTTAATTTTACATAAACCATAAAATATCTTGTAAAATATTCATTTTTCGATTATCTTACCTTAATACTTTTATGTACAAAATAATGAGAGGAATCAATTGGTGTAAAGAAAACAGTTGTTTTTAAGAAAAAATATGGAATTGTTAATTGCAAATTACATGTTTTGAAAAGCTCTCTATATGTGCGTTGAGAATTTTCAATTCAATATTCGTTGCAAAAATATACATTTAAACGATATAATTCGACACGATAATAAATTTAGCAGAGGAAATTATTTTAAGCTTCGTGGATTGAGAGAGAAAAGGATATATTTCTTATATAATTCTCTACTATACTGACACATATTTCTAATTCTCGAATAAGTCTCACTATTAATTCGTAGTATATAGCAGACGGGTCTTTCTGCGACGGCAAAGTGTAATGATATTGCAATTGTGTTGTGAATGCACGATCTAATCGGCCACGTGGAGCGAAAACAAAGTTGTCACGTGCGGGACGTGAGTTTCGCGAATTGGTCTTCCGTATCGGGGTGCGAAAGTGCGGAAACGACTTTGACGACGCTCTGATAGTTTCGCGTGACCCGAAGTTAATAACCCCGCGGCGCGGCACCGAACTTTCGCGGACAATGTTCTCGGCCGCAGATTTATAAGATTCGGCCTTATTTGAAAAGTTTATGCAATTTCGCGGTCCCCGGCACACGGCCTGTAAATATTCGGTCAAACTTCGAACTTTCCGAATAATGCAGCTGAGGTTTATCGAAGAGAACGAGAGCGGACAATAGATAAAGATTAGATAGATATTGGAAAAAAACGTAACATTATATGTTATCACATCGAGACGATTGACGAAATCTTATTGAAATAGCTGACTAAATACTAAGTTGATTAAATACAGCCCGTAGAGATTAGATATAACGGAAAAAAACATGATATCGACATGAATTATTATATTGATATGATTGACGGTTTTTGTCGAAAGTTTATTGAAAGATATATAATGAACGCTGAATACGTTATGCCTAAGTTAAATGCTAATGAAATATAATGACATTATTTCAATTATTTAAGAAAAATATTTCGCAATATTATTTTAACATAATGAATGTAAACATAATAAAAATTGTCCTTCCTTACATTGCAATTATCGAAATTCAATTACATCGCATTATTGTTGCAGCACATATTGATTGTATCAAACATTATTTATTTTTCAAGAAATTCTTCAAATTTTTTATCTTTAAAATGTGTTTAATATGTTTTTAGAATATTTTAATATTGTTTTACCTTTAAACATTCCCTGGCTGATTGAAACTATTACATTCACAATATTACCTGCATGATAAATATAACACACACATATACACACATGTATCCTATATCAAATACAATACAATATATCTATCTTCAAGCCGCATACTTTATTGCTACGTTTTAATTAATAAATAAATTCTTTATTTATTAATTAAAATACACACACATGTATATATACACAGATATATACACAGAGATATATACATAAAAAAGATATTTTTAAAGAGCAACAAACCTAAATATAAATAATTTTGCAAGACAGAAATATTTATCACCTTTCTCATTGATTTTGGGTAGCCATTACACCCTTTTTTCTTGCTATTGTATCTTTCATTATCAATGAATGATTCTATTTTTGAAATTGTATTTTTTATACAAAAATTTCCTACTTTTGCAAATATATTTAAAATTAAGCTGTGACACAAAAGAATATATCGTTTAAATAGATCGTTTAAAGAGATACTTGACAAAAGAAAGTTAAGTCGTTTTTAAAAGAATTGTTTTAACAATCTCTTTTTAACGACTGTATAAAGTTCCTTCCTTAAAGAGAAAAAGATCAACTTCGAAGTGAAATATCTCACGTTATTTTCAGTAGAATCATTTTTAATTTATCCAATCTCGTATGTTGTAAAAAGATGAAAGTTATAAAAAGTAAAAGTTTGTAGATCAAGGTGAATTGAGATAAAACTTCCTTTTTGTCCTCGTATCGGTTGGATTGGTTAAAGTGTGTATTCCGCAGATGGATGCGGGAGATATTCAATGAAATTTTAATCATATTCCACAGATAGCAATTGCATTGTACATGCGTACATATATATATTGATAAGCAGATCTTCCTCTCATAAGAGGATGCGGAATCTAGTTACACAAACGTGCATTATCGAGCTCATGAATGTGACAGGTGTATATCAACTTAGCATCTCTGCTCTATTCTATTTCGTACATTAATTATATTTGCATTATTATAGAAAATTATTTCGTTCTAAGGAATATGAGATATTACTATCTGTAAGCATGCACGCGATCGTTACACATCGAATAATATAGTTTATATTCCAAAATTTTAAGTTTGTTAAGAGCCCCATGCCGGCCATTTTTTAAATTTTTTAAGATACGCAGTGCGTAATTTTGCTCGACTAGTTCCTTTATTCAGTATTTACATGCTTATATATAGATATAGTTCCATAGAGATAAATATGAATGTAGCGGATCGGGATAATGGGTTTAATAAATTTTTCATTATCTCTAACAAACATTACGTACATTAACGTGTATTTTAAGATGTAATTTTTTATTTTAAATTGCACATTTGTGCTTATAACATATTAATAGCAATTAATATTTTCCCCATATGTATATACAGGGTGTCAGGGTAATCTCTTCCTAAAAAAAGCTCTTGTAGCTTACCTCGAGAGCTTTTTAAAACACTATAATACAGTATTTTTTCATCGAGTATTTTTCGAGTTATGAAGCTTGAAATAATCTCTTAATTATATAAACCATAAAATATCTAATAAAATATTCATTTTTCGATTATCTTACCTTAATACTTTTATGAAAGAAAAAATATGTAATTTGCAATTAACAATTACATATTTTTCTTGAAAGAATTATATGTTTTCTTTACACCAATTGATTCCTCTCATTATTTTGTATATAAAAGTATGAAGGTAAGATAATCGAAAAATGAATATTTTACTAGATATTTTATGATTTATGTAAAATTTAAGAAATTATTTCAAGCCTCATAATTCGAAAAAAAAGGGAAGAGATTACCCTGACATCCTATATGTATTTTGTCATGTGCGATAACACATGTGCAGTCTATTGATATTTCCGACAAGTAATAACGCGTTGATAAAACTGTAATAAATACAATCATTAATTCGTTCGCGATCCCTAACTCCGCGACTGTCAATGATGGAATCGGCTAACGATTCTGTCCTTATTCTCTGCTAATTAACTATTAACGATTTATCGAGAAAAAGTGACCTCGGTCGAGAGTTCACGCCCTCCATCCGCGAACACCCGCGTTTATAATTAGAAAGTCGATTACCATAGTGTTCCCGTCGTGTCCCACGGTGACCCGGTATAATGAAAACAGCATCCCACGATAATTCACGGAAAACAACGCGCTTTGCGAAACCGATCTAACACAGCACTAACTAAATATTACATTAATTAAATTCTCTTACTTACTTGTGCAAATCGAGATAGACGGTGGAACCAGCTCTTTTCACACTAAACATTATATAAAGTCATA